CGGCTTCTTCACCTGCGGGATCTGTGGGTTTGCACAACCAAAGAATTTCTGCACAAACTGTCAGAATCCATTTCAGGGAAGCTCATCTGCGTGCTCGTAATCCTCACCAGGGTCTTGACCTGACTGCAGTTAGGCGTCGTAGCCGATTTCAGTGGGCAAATGCTCACCTTCTATGGCCACTGGCACGCTGGAGAAGTGTGCTCTTAACGGATGAATCCCGGTTTCAACTGTACCGGGCAGATGGCAGACAGCGTGTATGGCGTTGTGTGGGCGAACGGTTTGCTGATGTCAACGTTGTGAACAGAGTTCCCCATGGTGGGGTTATGGTATGGGCAGGCATAAACTACGGACAGCGAACACAATTGCATTTTATCGACTGCAATTTGAATGCACAGAGATACCGTGACGAGATCCTGAGGCCCATTGTTGTGCCATTCATCAAATTTGTGTTCAATACATTTCAAATTACATAGGAATAGTAGGTTATAGGATGAAATTGGAAGGCATTGACTGGGATTATTGTAGTCCTTTGTAAAAACACGTCATAACCTGTTACATCTAGGCAGTTGAGGGTTGAATGCTTTGCTTACATTGAACAACAATGTTTAAGATGCGTTCCAAAAATGAGGTGTAGAAACCAGTTTTGATTTGATATGTCCCTAGATTAGTCAACAAACACAAACCTTCCACTGACCATTGGTTCTCCAAATAAACGCTGCATCGCATGACACCGCCCATCGATTGTGATCTGTCTGAGTTTGCTTTTGCATCTATCATATATAAGTAGTTTGGTAACACCTATCTTATTGTATTCTACATGACAGAGTCAAGTGAACTATTCATGCAACCGTGAAACCTCGTTAGCAAAGTCGGCAATATTTTATTGATTGGTAAGGTAATTATTTTTCTTCAAGGAGATAAATATTATATAATGAGATTATAGGACAGGTTACTAGCTTGACTATAAACCTACTATGTCAATTTAATTTAGGATCATGTTAAGTGTAAAGTAACTAACAAAGATGGTTCCATTGAAAATAATCCGTGATTAAATGTAACTGTTAATAAAGATAAAAGACAATGCTTTTATTTATCAAATTGCAGATAGTGTTTTACTATCTAAAATACTTCATAGGTTATTAACACATATTAACATATTCCAGCTCCAGATTAATTTAACTAGACATTGTGCCACTAATAAATAATAATAAGATTAAAACAAAACACTATACCATAATTAGAAAAACAAACATCAATACATTTACATTTTAGTCATACAAGAAACGATCAATAAAACTGCACTACAATGAAATACAATTTATCGGTAGGTCATCTGGGACAGTCGTGGTCATGGAGAGTCCAGGTCAGTCAGTGTCAACGACCAGTTGTGTCATTGACCACCTTCCGGAGACACTTGAAACCTTACCTCTTTAAAGAATACCTGGAATAGTATAATAGTAATCCTTCTACCCCCCCCTTTACTGCCACTGTCTTTTGTCTAAACTAACACCTGACTTATTTCACCTGCTAGCACTGACTTGTTTAAAGAAATGTACTTATTGTGATCGAGATGTAGTTGTCCCTGATTGCACTGACTTTGCTCACAGCTGCTTGTTTGAAGAAGTGTACTTACTGTGATCAAGATGTGGTTGTCCCACTGGCTATCCTAAGTTGAATGCACCAATTTGTAAGTCGCTCTGGATAAGAGCGTCTGCTAAATGACTTAAATTAAAAAATTTAAAAGTCTTGTAAGGTAGGTGATGGCTGAGTTGGGATAGTGCGGTGTGCCTGTTGTCACGATCGTCGTAGGGAACAGACCAAGGCGCAGCGTGATGAACGAACATGTTTAAACTTTATTATCTTTAGTGATAATAGACAACAATCAACAAAACAACAAACGACTCGTGAAGTCCACGGTAACAATGACCAACACGGAACAAGAACCCACAAACACAAAGGGAAAACAGACAGTTTAAATATGGCTCCCAATCAGAGACAACCAATGACAGCTGACACTCGTTGCCTCTGATTGGGAGTCACTCTAGCCAACATAGAAATAAACACAACAGAATGAACACACCCTGGCTCAACATATAGAGTCCCAGAGCCAGGGTGTGACAGTACCCCCCCCTAAAGGCGCGGACTGCGACCGCGCCTCAACTTGACCAAAACAGGGGAGGGCTGGGTGGGCATTCCTCCTCGGCGGCGGTTCTGGCTCCGGCCTTGCCCACCACCCTCCAATAAACCCCCCATAGCGCCCCTGGTCCAGTCTGGCCCCGCTGGCTGGAGCTGAACTGGACGTAGCAGGAGCGGTTAGCTTCAGCTCCGTAGTGGAGCAGTTGACCGGTACCTTACCAGGCACCGGTGACCCAGGCACGGGTTGTGCTGGACTGACGACGCGCACCCCTGGCTTGGTGCGTGGAGTAGGAACGGGCCGAACCAGGCTGACGACTCGCACCCCTGGCTTGGTGCGTGGAGTAGGAACGGGCCGGACCAGGCTGACGACTCGCACCCCTGGCTTGGTGCGAGTGGCAGGAACAGGCCGGGCCGGGCTGGCGACGCGCACCGTAGACTTGGTGCGAGTGGCAGGAACAGGCCGGGCCGGGCTGACGATGCGCACCATAGGCTTGGTGCGTGGAGCAGGGACAGGCCGGGCCGGGCTGGCGACGCGCACCGTAGACTTGGTGCGAGTGGCAGGAACAGGCCGGGCCGGGCTGACGATGCGCACCATAGGCTTGGTGCGTGGAGCAGGGACAGGCCGGGCCGGGCTGGCGACGCGCACCGTAGACTTGGTGCGAGTGGCAGGAACAGGCCGGGCCGGGCTGACGATGCGCACCATAGGCTTGGTGCGTGGAGCAGGGACAGGCCGGACCGGGCTGGCGACGCACACCGTAGGCTTGGTGCGTGGAGCAGGGACAGGCCGGACTGGGCTGGCGACGCACACCGTAGGCTTGGTGCGTGGAGCAGGGACAGGCCGGACTGGGCTGGCGACGCACACCGTAGGCTTGGTGCGTGGAGCAGGGACAGGCCGGATTGGGCTGGCGACGCACACCGTAGGCTTGGTGCGTGGAGCAGAGACAGGCCGGACTGGGCTGGCGACGCACACCGTAGGCTTGGTGCGTGGAGCAGGGACAGGCCGAACCGGGCTGTGGAGACGGATAGGAGACCTGGAGTGAAGAGCGGCCACAACCCGTCCTGGCTGAATGCCTACCCTCACACACTCTGTGTGAGGCATCCGCACAGGACGTACAGGGCGGTGTACCCGTAACCTGGTGGCCTTCTGAATCCGCCCCTTTTCTGCCTCCGTCAGCCCCGTCGTCCATGCCGTGTGCCCCCCCCTAAAAATTTTCTGTGACACCTGTGTCCTTGTCTGCAGTTGGCATTGCTTGTGGTTCTTTCTGAGACTGTGCTGTGACTGGGTGGTAACAGCTCCCTTAAGCTGTTTTTTTTGCCAGGCATATCTCAGGCATAGATTGGCTCTCCTGTCAGACAGGAGAGCCAATCTATGAGCCAAAAAAATGCTAAAGTAAGAAAGATGTGGTAATCAATAAAATTATACACATGACAAATGTTGTTGTTTTTATTTACAGAAAGTGTTATTTTGAAGCGTTAGAGGGATTCATTGTCTATACTCTTACAAAGAAAGGGTTCCAAAAGGGTTCTTCGGCTGTCCCCATAGGAGAACCCTTTTTGGTTCCAGATATAACTATTTTGGGTTCCATGTAGAACCCTCTGGGGAAAGGGTTCTACATGGAACGAGTCACCTGTTATCAGATTGCTGAGTCTGGAGCCTGAATGAACAGCCGCACAAATGGCACCATACATTTTGGTGTGGGTGACAAGCCGGATTTCTACCATGGCCAAATGTTGGGAGTTAGTGTCCAGGACAAAGAGGCTTTTGTGAAAAGCCTGCCTCTTGCCATTGAGGGACATTTTGAGCATGAACAGAAAGAAGCAGCCAAGAAATGCATCAAGACACTGCGGTTCATTGAGGTTCTCAACACCAACATGATATTATCTGAGAAATATGTGATTGAGGTTGACATAGTGTCAGACTATGAGATCTGTAAAAAAAAGCATCTACCATGTCTATAACGTGCCAAAAAATGCATCCAGGGCTCCAGACTCAGCAATCTGATAACAGGTGACTCGTTGTCTTTAGACAAGTCCCAGTATAAGCAGTATGTAGTTGTGACTAACAAATCCATCTCAACTGGAATTAATGGAATTAATGGGATTTCTTCCTGAGCTGAAACCAATTGCTGTTTTGGACTTTGACCCAGAGTCAACTAAAAAGGGACTGCACCATTACTTTGATGATAAGATTAAAACAAATGTGCACTTACCAAAACAATATAGAATCACAGACACAGTGGAGGACACCATTAGCAAACTACAAATCTCAAGCAACACCAGTTGGGTTTTCTGCAATGGGGTGGTCAATGGAGAAACAACCTCAATTGTAGATCAATTGCGAAATGAGAAGAAAACCTCTGTGCAAGATGTGGTTTCACTCCTGTGTTGTGTGGATGTACTGCCAGAGAAGGAATTCCTTGTCATTTTCCTTTTGTTGTCTTCTGTGAGTGACCGTTTCGACCCTGTGTTTGAGACCTTCCTGATGTTCCAGGAGAGACTCTGTGAACAACAAATCCTATGTTTGTTTGAAAACAAAAATGCATTCACTTGTTGGAAGGACCTGAGTCTCACTGAGAACTGCAGAATCAACATCCAAAGAAGATGTATATATGAGCTCAGTTTGGCTGAGATCAGCGGAACTGTCCTCAGTCTGTATTCTGACAATCATAGGTCCAGACGTTTCTTGCCTGGTGTGGGAGACAGCAATGTGCTCTTAGAAAGGAAAGTTTAGGGCCTCATGGACACCCTGGACATTCTGTGTGTGAACCAGTGTGAGGGAGGAAATTAAGACATCAACTCAGTACTTTTACAAAGGGGGCAAGGTGGAATAGTGGAACTTCCATTTTGCTGAGCAGCCTGGAAAGATGCCATTTATTAAACGAGACAAGTTCAATAATATCAAGGACACCATTATCCCAGATCTGCTTTCTTTGAAAAGGCCTTGTGTGTTCTTCAACCTATTGCATGAGCCAGGGTGTGGGGGAACCACATTAGCCAAGCATATCCTGTGGGAACTGAGAGACAAATTCCGTTGTGCTGTTCTGAAAGACACAACTGCAGTCCCCACTGAAGTTGCCCAACAGGTAGTCGAGCTGTTGACTTTTGAAACAACGGAACAATCTACTCGTATACCTGTGTTACTTATGATTGATGACTTTCAGGAGATCTATGTTATTTATCATCTGCAACAACTCATTGAGAATGAATGTTTTAACAAAAACATCAAGCAGTCAAAGGTAATTCTTCTCAATTGCACGAGTAATGAATCTCAAATGCAGACCAAGGCAAAAGATCCTATAGAAACGGTAAAAACTGTTTTCATTCCTAGTAACCTTTCAGAAAACTAGAGAAAATCAAGACCATCAACAAGAATGCATGGAAGAGATTCTATGGTTTCAGGATTCTAATGGAGAAGAAGAAGTTCAGATGTTCAGAAGAATATGTTAAGGCTATTGTCAGCAAACCCTAAAGACGTTAAACATAGAGGAGAAAAGTGCTCACATTTTTGCTGTTTTGGTCCTCTTAAATGTGAACTCGAAGAGCGTAACACTTTCAGTCTCTCATTGTGAAAAGTTTCTTGACCTTCAACGCAAGCCAGTGTTCTGTTCCTGCAAAGTTGAGAATACATTTGGAGCAGCTTTCCAGACTGTTGATCCGTTGTGCTGATAATGGTTCTAGAAACTTTGAAGCTTTGAGACTTATCCACCCAAGCATAGCTGTGCATTGCTTGAATGTACTTAAGATCAAACACAAAGTGTCAAAAGCTGACATAATCAATCTAACTCTGACTACGAACATGCTGATTGGGGCCTGCATAAAGGGGAGAGAAAAACTCAGGCATGATATTTGCAACTTATTGTTGAGAAGGCAGATGTCAGCCAAAGGAAAGGAGTCCCAGTTCTCGCAACTCATCAATCACATTGCAAAGGAGACGCCAAAAGATATGGAAACTGTACTGTTGAATGCATGCAAGTGCTTTCCACACAATCCTGATATCTTCCAGCTTCCTGCCAGATACCATGCAAGCAAACTTATAGATGGGGAAAGTGAATCTTCGTAAAGCAATCTGAGTGATAAAGAAAGTATTTTATGGCACATCATTGAAAGGTTCTGAGCAATTAAAAAAATCCTAAACATACTTCCTATCACCATGTTCAAGGGGAGATTGAGGCACATTTTTACAAAATCAGAAAAACCCAACAACTTCGAAGTCAGATTTTTTTGGGGAAGATGAGCAAAACTGTTATGTCATTAAGTGTCTGTAGACAAACGGCTACTGAAGTTATAAAATATTTTATTTAGACACCTTTGGGGTTGAAGTTCACAAAGCCAATATTCCTTACTACCCCCCAAGGAAACTTGCGTTGGCTACTTAAAATACAATTAAAACATTTTTCTTTCATGTTCATAATCAATGAAAGAAAGCAAACAAAGTAAGACATATTACACATTACAGTGCCTTGCAAAAGTATTCATCCCCCTGGGCGTTTTTCCTATTTTGTTGCATTACAACCTGTAATTTAAATGGATATTTATTTGGATTTCATGTAATGGACATACACAAAATAGTCCAAATTGGTGAAGTGAAATGAAAAAAATAACTTGTTTCAAAAAATTCAACAAAAAACATAACGGAAAAGTGGTGCGTGCATATGTATACATGAAAGTCAGAGATGCTTTTGAGAAGCATTTTGTGTGCAAACACAATGTAATTTATAGGTAGGTCTCCATCCAATTGGCTACAGATTTTTATGTGAATATTCTAAAATCCGAATATAGAAAATATTTGCATTTTCCCACTGGTGGTGTTTCCACCAAACTGACAGAGTGGTGTGCAGGTATGGTTGTAGTACCGAAACCAAACAGCGACATCAGGATCTGTGTAGATATGACACATCTGAATGAGAATGTGTGTAGGGAAAACACATCCTACCCGCAATGGATGAGACGCTGGCCAAACTGTCAGGAGCAACAGTTTTCTCCAAGCTAGACGCCAGCAGGGTTCTGGCAGATCTCGCTAAATAAAGACTGAGCCCCGCTCGCCACCTTCATGACTGAGATGCCAGTGCCCAAAGACATTGTAGATGTTCGACACTTCATGGTGAACTACGTCAGCAAGTTCTCTCCAAACATTGCAGAGCTGACAAAACCCATCAGGGACATCCTGAAAGCTGACAATGACTGGATATGGGACAGCACACAGCGTTTGAGAAGGTGAAAACAGAACTAAGTTCTCCTGCTATTCTCACACAATACTGTCCTGACAAGCACTTCTGCAGATGCATCCTCACATGGACTGGGTGGAGTTCTTTCTCAACTGCAACAGTCAGGTGAGTGGAGGCCCATGACCTTCATATCACACATCATGACAGAGACAGAGCATAGATACCCTCAGATTGAGGAGGCGCTTGCTGCTACATGGGCCTGTGAGCATTTACAGACTTACCTGCTAGGGTTGGACTTTGTGATCGGAACAGACCACAAGCTTCTGATTTCACTCCTGGGCACAAGAGCGCTGGATGACCTACCTCCTCGCATACTGAGATTCAGACTCCTTTCGGATCATGCATGTCCCAGGCAAGAATCTGGAGCTCAGCTCCCAGGGGAGCCTACGGAGGAAGACATAACATGGGGTCCCCGAGACCCTAGTGACAGACAATGGTCCCCAGTTCTCAGCCTCTGAATTTGTTGTTTTTGCAAAAGAGTACAACTTTGTGCATGTGACAAGTAGTCTACAATACCCCTAGAGCAATGGCAGAGTGGGCAGTGAGAACTGTGAAGGCCTTCCTGAAAAAGGGAGACGATCCTCACAAAGCACTTATGGCGTACCGCGCTACTCTTCTGGCTCACGGCGCTTCCCCAGCTGATGGGGAGTAACATCAGAACTCCCTTACCAGTCAGCCCATCTCAACTCAAATCAGAGTGGCCAGATCTCAAGTCCTTAAAGTAAGACATTCTAATGAATAAAGCCTTGATAATGTTTTGTTACCCGAGTCTTTGTTGTTTATCTACAATATATAATGCAACACTTACGCATTTTAAACCACGACTACAATGATGTATGAAAATACAATATGCAAACACTATTTTTGATATTATTTTGTAAATTGCATTTGTGAAAGAAAAACATTTGTTAGTGTGATCTATCTCACTGTTGGGGGTGGGTGGGGTGGGGTACTTCCGTAAACAAATGTGTCATGAGAATTATTGTTGCATATGGGATGTAAAACTTGAAAAATAACTATACAAAATACAATTGGTGTGATTCGTGATCGTGGTCTCTCCACGATCACACCAATTGTATTTTGTATAGTTATTTTTCAAGTTTTACATCCCATATGCAACAATAACTCTGTGTGTCTGACTGGTGAGGGAGTTCTGATGTTACTCCCCATCAGCTGGGGAAGCGCCGTGAGCCAGAAGAGTAGCGCGCTACGCCATAAGTGCTTTGTGAGGATCGTCTCCCTTCATCAGGAAGGCCTTCACAGTTCTCACTGCCCACTCTGGATGTGTGTCTGAATAATTCTTGTCAGAACAAGCATAGCAGAAGGTGCAGTGTGTCCAGTCAGTCATGTGGTTCTTTATTCTTTACGCCAGGCAGCGTTACATCTGATGCACATGACATTAACATAAGGTACTGTAGTCCAGTTCCAGTTACATCGCAGCAGCTAGGTCCCAACTCAGTCCTCACTATACATCTATCTTCCCTTTAATAAACTACTTTAAAATGGGATGGGGGGAGAAAACAGAGACTTTTTACAAGATTCATAGTACCAGGGGATTTCTTCAGTTAATAGCATATTGATTGCCTTGTAAACAGAATGGACAGATACAACTGAGACTGGGCTTGTTAAGAGGCAGGTTGGTACATATAGCAGTTTTCTACAAGCTAGTCATTAGAAGCATTTGTAAGACAGTGTTTCTGCAAGCTTTATTCTTAGGCGAGGCGCAACGTCCCCCAAAAGCAACATCAGAAGGTTGAAGATACTGAACATTTCAAATCAGTCTTTTTAGATGTGGGGGGGGGGCAACAGTGCTGACCAGGTGGGCCGCCTTGCCTAAGAAATGGTAGGAGGAAACACTGTAGGAGAACACGGTCCTAAAGAGTAATGGATTTATGTACAGTAGACACAGGAGGGTATAGTCAGATCAATGGAGGTTTATAGTACAATCACAGCTGGTTTGTGCATGCATGCATCTGGTTGGCTCCCAGACCAAAACCTGATCACTTCCTCAACCCATATAGGATACACGATCAGAAGAGGTGGTCAGAAATGTATTTCTTACTAAATCAGTGTTCATTGCTCTTGGTCCTGGAGAGCTGAATGCAGTGTGTGCTGGCTTAGACTAACACATATTATTCAGCTGATGGCGGTCTTGGTGTTTAGTTGATTTGTTGAATCAGGTGTGTTAGTGCTGGACTGGAAAGAATGCCTGCACACACTACAACTCTCCAGGAGCAAGATCTGATTAAGTACTTCATAGTTACTAAATAAGTGGTTTTATTCTTACAATTAAAAAAACGATCATATCTTACATATTAATCTTATAAAAAGGTGCTTAAAATAAATCCTTCCGTCTTTTCTTTGTTTAAATGAGAAGCGGTCGATAGTCGGTACACAACACAGATACATTACTCATGTACATACAGTCTACAGGGGGATGGAAAGAAGAGGGAATCTGCCCTCGCTTTTACAGACGGATGGATGGATGGATGGGTGATATTAACAAGCAGCAATGGGAGGAGCCTGTACATAGAAAATGGTGCAACACCTCATCATCCTTAAATCATAACTTCCATCATAGCACTTTATTTAGGTCTAAACAAGGGTCTAAATCAGTTGCTTGTCAACAGTGGTTTCCAGATGTTTTGTGCTGTGACCCCATTTATTTTTAAAGCCTTTCACTATGCCCCTCTGGCCAAATCAAACAAGCCTTAGGCCACCACCCACATTTAGAAATATACGACCATCGATTAGGGACCATTGGCTTATGACATCAGTTATGTCACGCTTATGGCAGTCTTAAGTATCCTTTACGTCAGAGGGTTCCAGTTAAGTGTTGAGATTAGTGTGTGTTTGTGTGTACGTGTTTGTGTGTACGTACAAGTGTGTGTGTGTGTGGGTGTGTATGACATGTCTAAAGAGCACGAGGCCTCTTGGGGTTGATCTGTTTGCTCGCCTGCTCCTCTTCCTGGAGTGTAGAACGGAAACCCTTCACTTTGTCTGAGAGAGAAGAGGAGAGAGGGGAGGAGAGAAAGGAGGAGAGAGGGGAGGAGATAAAGGAGGCGAGAGGGGAGGCAAGAAGGGAGGAGAGAGGGGAGGAGAGAAAGGGATGCTTAGATAAAAATCAGAAAAATATACTGTCATCTTGCTAATTACTTGCAAATAATTTGACATTAATCACAATTGATTGAACTGTTGCTTAATTCTGATCTAGAATCAGTTATATTAGAATACCCGATTACCTCTGAGTTCAGTGAGGATGTCTATCTTTTGATCCAGGATCTGTTCTAGCTGCGTGGCATAAGAGTCCACATCATAATCCACCTCTTCTGTCATCTCCAACAACACCTTCTCATCCTCCAACCAACGGATAGACTCCTGCACCGGACACACACAGATAATAAAATACACACATAATATGTGTGCGATTGTGTGTGTGTGTTTGTATGTGTGTGTGTACCTGGAACACAGCTCGGTGGTCCTCCAGGACCTGTTCCTCCATCTCCACCAGCTGAGACACAGCCTCATGGAAGGTAAAGAGCTGAGGAGACACCTCCTCTTCCTGGGGGAGAGGGGAGGGAGAGCGAGAGCGAGAGAGAGAAGGGAAAGAGAGAGGGGGAGGGAGAGAGAGAGAGGGGAGAGAGCGAGAGAGAGAGGGGAGAGAGAGAGAGAGGAGAGGGGAGAGAGCGAGAGAGAGAGGGGAGAGAGAGAGAGGGGAGAGAAAAAGAGAGGAGGAGAGAGGGAGAGGGGAGATTGAGGTAGGGGAGAGACGAGAGCACGAGAGCAGAGGAGAGGGAGGGGAGAGGAGAGATTAAGAGAGTCAGAGGGAGGGAGGGAGAGAAAGAGAGGAGAGACAGAAAAAAATATGTTATGCTGAATTATCAACACATTCCTACTCTGATGAACCACACACATTTGATTTGACAGTAAAATAAACGGATTTTCTTTCATTTTGCTCAGTTTGAGTTGAGAGAGGTAGATAAGAGTACAAGTCAGTACACAGAGAGGTGACTGTACGGTAGGAGAGTGTGTGTATGTTCTTACGTTCTGTTCACAGAGCAGTTTGAGGTCGTCCCTCTGAGGCGAGCTGCCGACCCCCCACTGAGCCTCCAGGACCTCCAGCTGGGTAACGCTGTGTCCCCCTCCTCCCCCCCGCCCCTCCATCATCACCCCTGGGTCCACCGTTAGCTCCTTCACCCTGTCGACGCACACACACATTTTTGTCATTTAGCAGACGCTCTTATCCAGAGCGACTTACAGGAGCAATTAGGATGAAGTGCCTTGCTTAAGGGCACATCGACTGATTTTTCACCTAGTCGGCTCGGGGATTCGAGCACATGCGCACACACACACGTACGCATGCAAGCACACACACACATGAATAGGATTCAGTTTCCCTGACCATGTGAACTGACTGATCTGGTTGGTTAAAACAGTCAATGAACCAATGGCAACGAATGGAGACATTCTCAGGCACAAGAGTAAAGGACAAGCTGGGAAGGAAAAACATGAAAAACAAAACACAGCTTTTGAAATGAATGAAAGAAAGCGTTAAACATAAATGAAATGCAATAAATTAATGAAAGGGTTAAATATATAAATCATGCCACAACTCAGCAATGACAAACTGAAACTGAAAAAATAAAATAAAATAAATATATGAAATAAAAGAAGCTGTAAAACGTGAGGGTGTGCAAGTTTGTAGCCATCCTTTACTAATATGGAAACCAGACATTAGCAACACATAAGACGATGGTTAATAGACAAGAAAGGGGTAAAAAAGGAAACGAAAGGAGTAGGTAAAAGTTACCGCTGGTCCAGGATCAGATATATATTTTTTTAATCGCCTGATTGGCCTTATAGTTATTATACGGTTACAGTTAATTTGATCCTAGAGCTGTGGTTAGGGGTAACCTCTCCCTGGAGTGAAATGAGAGGCAGAACAGAGGACGGGTACAGGTTGGTAGCTAGTAGAGGTCAGTAGAGAGGAGAGACCTGGTGGGAGAGGTGGGAAAGTCATCGTACTCGTAGGTGTTAGTGGGGGAGAGTTCAGCACGACCCCCCCCTCCACCACCCTGCTGCTGGGAGAAGGGGATGTCTGACGGGCTGATCCCAAACTCCTTCACTCTGTTTGGAGAAAGGGAGAGGGACAAACACACACACACACACACACACACAGAGAGAAGGCAGAGGATCCGGTCAGGAGAAGGGTAAATGTTTTGGCTCGTATCAAGAAGGGGGAGTGAGAGGAGGAAGAATATTCTGCAATGTGAACTTCAATTAAACTTCTCCCCATCGACTAACAGTCTTAGTAATTAGTAGTAGGTGAGATGTAGACAGTCTGTTAGGTTGAGGTTAGGCAGGTGAATGCCTCACCTGTTGGCGTATCTCAGAGTGTTTAGAGTGTTTTCACAGGAAGCCATTCCAGGAGATATAGTGGCAATCTGTGGGGGGGAAATAACAGTTGCTACATCATTAGAAACTCATTATCGTAGGTGCTTAGTGGATAAACAGCAAACCAAGGCAGTATGTGTTAAAGGAGGTGCATATTATGTCACCATGCATGTCCTGGAGTTCTCCCCGATGAAGGAGTCTCTGAGAACCTGGGTCAGCTTGCTGGCTCTGAACGGGGTGTGGGGCTTGTTCCGACCCAGAGCCCTGATACACTCCTTGAGTGCCAGCAGACTCTTGTTGATCTCGGCCCCCTCCAGGCGTGTCTGGCGGTCAGCGCTGGACGTGTCGGCACCCCTCTCGTTCCCCGCCAGGTCGATCAGCGAGAACTTGCCGTGCATCTTCCCTCGCCGCCGCAGAATGATCTGGAACACGGCGTGGCTACGTGACGAGTGGGCGTTGGCCGAGGTCTGACCTGACGTCCTGGGAGAGAGATGTAGGAGGAGTGAGAGAGATAACAGCAGGAAAAGAGACAAAACTAGGAGAAATTAGAAGACCAGTTTTAGATCTTTTAGAACATAAATGTCAATCTATTAAATAATCCTTCCCTCCCTCCTTCCCTCTCTGGTTTTACCTGCAGCTGTTTCCGACCTCTATGAGTTTGAGGACGTCTTCAGTACATTTGACGTCTCTCTCCTGCAGCCCCACCACCTGCACCTGCTGCTTCCCATCCTCCAGAACCCTCAGCTTGGCTTTCCGGTTCAGCAGGTCAAACACCTAGACAACCACAAGACAACCACAACACAACAACGTGGCCAGGTTAACACAACCACGACCATCATCCAGCACACACAGTTTGACTTTATGGTTCAGAAGGTCAAACACCTACAGCACCACAACCACGCACGGTCTACACATCCTCCAGGGGGTTTGAAGATGTATTGGTCACTTCACTTGCCTTCCCGCTGTAGATCTCAAAGAAGGTGGCGAAGACATTGAGGTCTAACTTCTTGTAGTTTGGCTTCTTCAGCATGAGAAACACGTCTCTCGCTGCAGAGAGAAAAGGGTTTCACTGAAGAGACACAATTTTACACAGATACACAGAAAAACAACTTTATCCGGAGAGAGAGATATGGTGTAGTGTTCGTACCAGCCAGCGCGTAGATCCCTTTAGAACAGTCCTGGTTCTTCCCCGAAAAGTCTCCTCCCATCGTCTGAAAGGGAAAGGGGTTGAGTGAGATGAACTCCCAAACAAAGACAATGTGCCAAAAAAGAGTGTGATAACAAACACAGTATATGCATTATCTAGTTAGGCCAGACAAAGTCGATTTACTGTTTAAAACCTTTTACTGCAGTGGGCTAAATCAGGGTTACACAGAGTATTTCTTGGTAGTCTTAAGCACATTTTCAGCTTTAAAAAAATAAATAATGTTCATTAATTATGAAAAATATGAATAACATTCCACCCATGAGGCCAATAGAGGGCGATTTGGTCATTTGACCGCAGGAAAGCCCAGCTTCACATAAAACAAAAATTAAGAGGGGTTGAATGAAGAATTCAAGATGAATAGATGCTGAAGCAGTTTATTATAGTAAGATGATTTTAGTAGACTGCTATATATTTCAGCTAGCACATCAATTATTAAAAATGGTAGAACTATGCCTCGAAAAAATTAACTGTGTCTACAACTCAGCCGGGACAGGCTTTCAATTGTGCTATCCAACTCCTGACAGCAATGTATTTAATTAGGGGGAGTTCCTTGACCAGGACTCAAACTGTGGTCCCTGTGACTGTCATTCCAAAAGGGTAAAATATTTTGGTAAGGTTGTTAAGTGTTGTACTAAGGTTGTTTAGTATTTTTATAAGGGGTTAACATTTAATTTACTTTATTTTAATTTTTTTTATATTCGCTCGCTCGCCTCACTTTTCAAAAAATGAAATCTGTTAAACAGTAAATAAACTTTGTATGGCCTTAGCATTAAAATGTTAGCCGACACACACAGAAAGTGTTCCACTCACATGTGTTTTCCCACTTCCTGTCTGTCCATAGGCGAAGCAGGTGGCCATGCCCCTCTCAAAGATGGTCTCCACCAGTGGCCGGGCGGTGAACCTTGGGAACGGGGGAAGAAATGGTTTAGATAGGTCAACCAAATCACAGTAAAGATAATCGAAATTACAATATTATACTTTGGAATAAATTATGCGTTTAACTCAATGGAAGATTTGACTCATACACACATCTTCAGTAAGAATTTGGCCCAGTTCACATGATTCTTTTTGTTCTTGAAACATACCTGTAGACCAGACTATTTTACCACTTGGAAGTTGAGAAGGGAAAGATACCTGTAGACCATGTCGTTGTCGGTGCTGTCGTCAAAGGCGTAGTCGAAGCGGAAGGTCTGGTTCTCCAGGTACCTGGTCAGGTCAACCTTCTGCTTGGGTTCATGGACCATCACAACGTCCTTACTGGGGATGGTGATCACATCAAGGTCCTTCATAGTCAACTCTGAGGGGGGTGAAAAGGAGTTCTGAATAACCCACTGGAACATTTTAATATCCCACTTTCAAGTGAAAGAGTGAGGAGGGTGATGCTTACGATGCTGTTAAATCTCTGCATGTAAAAGACCATGTAACCATGAAAAGGTTGGTGTGCCTGTGTTCGATTTATATATACACTTACCTTTTTTATTGAGGGGCCGTGCTCGTACACACACACATATCCTGTGCTCCTCATCGATCTGAAAGGTGAAACAATATCATACATACAAGACGTGATTCAGTTAGCGGCCAATGAAGACGTGTCACCCCTCTATCTATGAAAGTAGATCTACAGCTAACTAGACCAGGAGACAGATCCGATTTAGATATATACGTACCAGATCAGCAGTGGTTAGAGGCCTGTAGTCCAGACTGGCTCTGAAGTCTCTGATCATACACATGATCTCATAGTTCGGTACAGTCACATCTACCTCCTGGAAGAGAACGGTACACGGTTAAAGGTGTGTGTGTATGTCGGTGTGTATGTTGGTGTGTGTGTGTGTGTGTATGTATGTTGGTGTGTGTGACCCTGCCTGTGCTTTCTTCTCTCTCAGCTCCTGTTGTTGTAGTCTCCTCCTCTCTCTCTTCTCCTGTAGTTTCTCCACCTCCTTCACACAGTTGGATTTCCGCCGCGCTGAAACAGTACAGGGAAGACAATTATCAAAAATGATCTATTACATATGTATAATAGTGATCCATTTCATTTGTACTGTCTGTCCTTTTTCAACACACTTCAACGCTCTTTAGAGGCAAATGCACAAGGCAACAAATGCACAAGGCAACAGAAATATAATAATGTTTACATATCTTGCATTACTCATCTCATATGTACAGTACCAGTCAAATGTTTGGACATTTTTACTATTTTCTACATTGTAGAATAATAGTGAAGACATCAAAACTATGAAATAACATATGGAATCATGTAGTAAGCAAAAAAGTGTTAAACAAATCAAAATATATTTTATATTTGAGATTTTTCAAATTAGCCACCCTTTGCCTTGATGACAGCTTTGCACACTCTTGGCATTCTCTCAACCGGCTTCACCTGGAATGCTTTTCCAACAGTCTTGAAGGAGTTCCCACATATGCTGAGCACTTGTTGGCTGCTTTTCCTTCACACTACGGTCCAACTCATCCCAAACCATCTCAATTGGGTTGAGGTCGGGTGCTTGTGGAGGCCAGGTCATCTCTGACATTGCTCGTCCATATATGTATACATTCTTAAATCCATTCCTTTACTTAGATTTGTGTGTATTGGGTATACAGTGGGGGAAAAAAGTATTTAGTCAGCCACCAATTGTGCAAGTTCTCCCACTTAAAAAGATGAGAAAGGCCTGTAATTTTCATCATAGGTACACGTCAACTATGACAGACAAAATGAGGAAAAAAAATCCAGAAAATCATATTGTAGGATTTTTAATGAATTTATTTGCAAATGATGGTGGAAAATAAGTATTTGGTCACCTACAAACAAGCAAGATTTCTGGCTCTCACAGACCTGTAACTTCTTCTTTAAGAGGCTCCTCTGTCCTCCACTCGTTACCTGTATTAATGGCACCTGTTTGAACTTGTTATCAGTATAAAAAACACCTGTCCACAACCTCAAACAGTCACACTCCAAACTCCACTATGGCCAAGACCAAAGAGCTGTCAAAGGACACCAGAAACAAAATTGTAGACCTGCACCAGGCTGGGAAGACTGAATCTGCAATAGGTAAGCAGCTTGGTTTGAAGAAATCAACTGTGGGAGCAATTATTAGGAAATGGAAGACATACAAGACCACTGATAATCTCCCTCGATCTGGGGCTCCACGCAAGATCTTACCCCGTGGGGTCAAAATGATCACAAGAACGGTGAGCAAAAATCCCAGAACCACACGGGGGGACGTAGTGAATGACCTGCAGAGAGCTGGGACCAAAGTAACAAAGCCTACCATCAGTAACACACTACGCCGCCAGGGACTCAAATCCTGCAGTGCCAGACGTGTCCCCCTGCTTAAGCCAGTACATGTCCAGGCCCGTCTGAAGTTTGCTAGAGTGCATTTGGATGATCCAGAAGAGGATTGGGAGAATGTCATATGGTCAGATGAAACCAAAATATAACTTTTTGGTAAAAACTCAACTCGTCGTGTTTGGAGGACAAAGAATGCTGAGTTGCATCCAAAGAACACCATACCTACTGTGAAGCATGGGGGTGGAAACATCATGCTTTGGGGCTGTTTTTCTGCAAAGGGACCAGGACGACTGATCCGTGTAAAGGAAAGAATGAATGGGGCCATGTATCGTGAGATTTTGAGTGAAAACTTTCAGCATGACAATGATCCCAAACACACCGCCCGGGCAACGAAGGAGTGGCTTCGTAAGAAGCATTTCAAGGTCCTGGAGTGGCCTAGCCAGTCTCCAGATCTCAACCCCATAGAAAATCTTTGGAGGGAGTTGAAAGTCTGTGTTGCCCAGCGACAGCCCCAAAACATCACTGCTCTAGAGGAAATCTGCATGGAGGAATGGGCCAAAATACCAGCAACAGTGTGTGAAAACCTTGTGAAGACTTACAGAAAACGTTTGACCTGTGTCATTGCCAACAAAGGGTATATAACAAAGTATTGAGAAACTTTTGTTATTGACCAAATACTTATTTTCCACCATAATTTGCAAATAAATTCATTACAAATCCTACAATGTGATTTTCTGGATTTTTTCTCCTCATTTTGTCTGTCATTTTTAAGTGGGAGAACTTGCACAATTGGTGACTGACTAAATACTTTTTTTCCCCACTGTATGTTGTGAAATTGTTAGATATTACTGCACTGTCGGAGCTAGAAACACAAGCATTTCGCTATACCCGCAATAACATCTGCTAAACATGTGTATGTAAAATTTGATTAGATTTGATGAGCGCTAAACAACACATTCAATAACATTGCAATAAAACCCAAGCCCACCCCTCCAGGATAGTGGATATTTAGAGAGAAATTACAATGCCTCTCTGTCTCTCAGCAGTACAGCTGGGCTAATAAGCCTATCTGTGTCTTTCTGCCTGGGAGCATTATATCACTGGTCATGTGTCCCATCATAACCCACAGGGGGAACAACACATCTCAACACACAGCAGAGAGCTCTGAAACCAGGGTTTACACTAATAGGAAATGAAAACGACTGGTCGTTAGCATGGCAATGTATTTAGCAATAACCAGGACTATTTAGCAATACCCAGCTGGAGTGTGTGTGTGTGTGTGTGTGTGTGAGTGTGTATTACCGTTCTGCTGCTGTTGTAGTGTCATCTGCTGTGTCTGTAGGGCTGTGAGTGCTGCAGGTGGGGGTGGTTCTGGTTGGCTTTGCTGGTGCTGTATTTGACTGGATCTGGCTCGCGTAGTCCCCACTGCTGCAGCTGGACACACAACATCATTCACAATACATTTTAGTAATTGTTAGTACATGTACATTGAGTACATGACATATTATCCTTGGACACAACGCTTTCGTCTCATTTGAAGACTGTAAGTCGCTCTGGATAAGAGCGTCTGCTAAATGACCAATTAATTTTTTTATTTTATTTAATTGTATGCCTTTTAAATTCAGAATATGAGTAATGATCTCCCCCCCTCTCTCCCTCCCTCCCTCCCCCCCTCTCTCCCTCCCTCCCTCCCTCCCCCCCTCTCTCCCTCCCTCCCCCCCCTCCCTCCCTCCCTCCCTCTCTCTCTCTCCCTCTGCTTCTATTGAAACAGAAACAAATAGTTTAATTTCAAAACGCTATATATCCAATTCCAGTGCATTCATCTTAAGATGGCTAGGTGAGACAACCACATATCACAGTCAAATATACAGGATACCAACATTCCATTACAGATAAACAATGGATATATAGCATTTTGCAAAAAAATTATAAAACATACACATTTAAAATCTATGAATGAAAAATCTGAGAACAGTAATATTTTACACACACATGAAGGTACTCATAACCAATCATTACTGTTGAAAAAAACACAAATATGAAAAATTGGTGGTTATAGCATTTTGAAAATAAACTCCTCAAATAGAGATCTACTATTCCTACTTTCATGGTACAGTGGGTCAGTAGGATGTTATGTAGCTGCCTGGTTGAATCTAGTGTTACATTGTGTACAGACTGTGGAACACGAGGAAGCTTGGAGATCAAAGTTCTGTTGAAGCTGTCTTACCTCTGTTTGCTGGGGTTTCAGTCTTGGGGGGCGCTATTGTTCGTCGGTTCTACAAGAGACAAAAGAATACCATATGAATGTAAAGAAGCAGATGTGACACATGCAAATAGCTGATACTTTACCATGATAAAACTATACTGTACAGCCACAGGAGGCTGGTGGCACCTTAATTGGGGAGAATGGGCTCATGGTAATGGCTGGAGCGGAATCGATGGAATGGTATCAAATACAAACACATTGTTTCCATGTGTTTGATGCCATTCCATTTGCTCCGTACCAGCCATTATTATGAGCCATACTCCCCTCAGCAGCCTCCACTGGTACAGACATATGGCTATTGGCCACAGTATAAGACATTATAATAGAATGACCTTGGGTGGCTTGATTTGTTTAGCAGCGGAGGAGATGGAGGAAGCAGGAGGGGGGGTCTCAGGACTCTGTACTACCTCCTCTTCTGGAGCCACATCTGGGTTCAGAGCAAAGATGCTCTCCAGGTCAATCTGCATGGGGAGAGGGTACAACATGTTAAAACTCTGTTCCAGCCTCTCCAACCTAATGTGTGTGTGTGTGTGTGTATATATATACAGTGAGGTCCGGAATTATTGGATCCCTTGATGAGCAAAAAAAGACTATAAAATAAATAATACAAATACTGAGCTTTATACAACGGGTGGTTTGGAATTCCCATTGTTAGAGCCTGCCCATGATATACCAGGCAACACACATGGCCAGCACATTCATAAAAAGTACCATCGTTTACGTCGTTACCTATCAACGCACTGCACTACTACTACTACCACCTGTAACTCCTCATGGATGATTTTAAAGTAACTTTTTATATTTATTTATTTTTACATTTGAAGAGGAGGTGGTTATGAAATAAATGAAACAAGAAGAAGAGCAAGTGGACCAGGAACCGGAGCCAAGAGAAAGAGATTTTGTTTAACAAGTAATTTAAAAAAGATCTGATAAAGTGCCATCCTTGCAGGATAGGCTCTAACAGTGGGAATTCCAAACCACCCGTTGTAAAAAGCTCAGTATTTGCTGAAGACAAATGTATGTCTTGTATGGACTAATAACGTAATCTCGTAACTCAGGAAGACAAGAAAGTCACACTTTTTCGCTTCATGTGCAGTGAGGTTGATTAACAATTTACCAGTGACATTTAAGAAGTGAAATAGGCTACCATGTTTTTAAAAAAAAACATGTCTAATCCTAAAGGGGCGCGCGCACGCACAAACACTAGGGCTGCACAATTAATCGAATTCACATGGAAATCGAAATATTAACATGTGCAATGTCCATATCACAAGAGATCCACTCAGCTGCGTGTAATGTCCGTTTTTATAGTTTACTCTGTTTGTCCTCTCTCTCTGCTTGCGGCTGCGTCCCACACACAAAGCCCTGTCAATCAAGCAGCGCAGTTCCTCCTTGCTGTAGAATCACACTAAGTATACCAAACATTAGGAACACCTTCCTGCTATCGAGTTGCCCTCAGAACAGCCTCAATTCGTCGGGGCATAGATTCTACAAGGTGTCGAAAGCATTTCCCAGAGACACTGGCCCATGTTGACTCCAATGCTTCCCACAGTTGTGTCAAGTTGTATGGATGGCCTTTGGGTGGTGGACCATTCTTGATACACATGGGAAACTGTTGAACGTGAAAAACCCAGCAGCGTTGCAGTTCCTGACACAAACCGGTGCACCTGGCACCTACTACCACATCCCGTTCAAAGGCACTTAAATATTTTGTCTTGCCCATTCACCCTCTGAATGGCACACATACACAATACATGTCTCAATTGTCCCAAGGCTAAAAAAAACCCTTCTTTAACTTGTCTCCTCCCCTTCATCTACACTGATTGAAGTGGATTTAACAAGGGACATCAATAACGGATCATAGCTTTCACCTGGATTCATCTGGACAGTTTTGTATACTCAGTGTAAGTTTGCATGCTGTTCTGTTAAATGCAGGTCAAATGCAGTCAAAAGATTGTTCCAAACAAGACAACGCTGTTTTCCACTTTGCTTCTTAATATAAATCATTTTATTTATATGATTCCAACAGTACACCTAACTAAAGTGTTATGATCTATATGTATATCGCAAGATACACACAAACACACACACACTAAAGCACACTACTTAAAGTGGAACTGACAGCATTTGTGAAAATTATATAGCAGCGGGAAAGCGGCCGTGCGTTTGGACACCGGAGTCTACGCAGACCGGTGCACCATAGCCAACCAGAGGTACAGTAGGCCTTTACGCAAACAAGCCATTTGCCACACAGGCATGCCATCATTCACTTTGAACTGGACTGTGTGTTTACAGTCAGTTGCAACAGCGCGACTTTAGATCATTAGAACGCATTCACCAAAAGCCACAAAATACACCTGAATGGATTTCTGCAAATTATGTCAATAGCATGGGAGTCCTCTTACATTTGGGAACGTTACAGTCCTATTGATCAAACCAATGTAGGCTCTCTCTTCCTTAGTTATGCATTTCAACAAGATCAACAACTAATGCTAGCCAGAGCAAGATGCGCTCAAATCTAACAAAGAAACATTAGATAAACCCTTTCAAACTTTTTCAGCTAGTTAGCTGTCAAAATTGCACTGATAAAGATTGGGAATAGTAGCCTACTCGCTTGCATGCAACCAAGCAAACTGGCTATAATTGGCTAGCTTGCAAGCTAGCTACTTCCAGACACAAATGAGAGAACACCTCACTGACCATTTTACTTGCCATAACAGAGCTGGTTAGGCTGTTTACATGTTTTCTAGAGCGTTCGTGACTAACTATTACTATATTTACTGACACCGGTCATATTCAGCGGGTGTTGCGCGTTCGTAAATTAATCAGTTACTCAACGTTCTGCCACACTCAGACGAGAGTGCTCTGAAATCGGAGTAGATTGCCAGAGTAAATTTGTGAACACAAGAGATATGCTAACTGAACAAGTCGTTAAAGTTCTTGCTAGCTAACCAAATGATACATGCATCTCTAGCTGTGTAGCCACCGAAAAACGATACGAGGGGGAAAAGTCAGTCACTCACCCATTCCTCCAATGACATGACATCCTCCTAGCAGCTAGCTAGCTAACGTTATGCTCCGCGTTTTTAGCTTGCTACATAAATAAGATACGCTCGCCTATTAGCCACGTTATGACAGACTTGTGATCATTGCCCTTGCTAGTTTGATTGTATTGACATTCCCAGCAATACAATCAAACTAGCAAGGGCAATGATCACAAGTCAGTCACAGAACTTGAACTACTTATTCAGTTAGCATATTTCTTGCGTTCACATTCGTCCGTTTTTGTCCAAAATATTGAGTCATTGAAACTGAAACAGTGCATCCCGAATGGAGGCAGCAAACAATGTACCAAGCCAGCTGTGATTTACAACCTGATAGCAATATTTTTTGGACTACCAATAAATTAATTGGTGAATTATGTTAATAATGCATTGAACTGCATCCATCTATTCTGCCAACAACTCCTTAGTGTACATCATGGAATGTTGAGTCAAATAGAACCTATTTTTAAAACCTCTTATAAAGTTGGTTTTGTAGCATAAACTGGGAATTTGATATTTTTTACTGATACACTACATGACCATAAGTATGTGGACACCTGCTCATCGAACATCTCATTCCAAAATCATGGGCATTAATATGGAGTTGGTCCCCCCTTTGCTGCTATAACAGCCTCCACTCTTCTGGGAAGGCTTCAACTAGATGTTGGAACATTGCTGCGGGGACTTGCTTCAATTCAGCCACGAGCATTAGTAAGGTCGGGCACTGATGTTGGGCAATTAGGCCTGGCTCGCAGTCGGTGTTCCAATTCATTACAAAGGTGTTTGATGGGGTTGAGGTCAGGGCTTTGTGCAGGCCAGTCAAGTTCTTACACACCGATCTCGACAAACAATTTTTTTATGGACCTTGCTTTGTGCACGTGGGCATTGTCATGCTGAAACAGGAGGGCCTTCTCCAAACTGTTGCCACAAAGTTGTACGCACAGAATCGTCAAGAATGTAATTGTATGCTGTAGCGTTAAGATTTCCCTTCACTGGAACTAAGGCACCCAAACCATGAAAAATAGCACCAGACCATTATTCCTCATCCACCAAACTTTACAGTTGGCACTATGCATTCGGGCAGGTAGCGTTCTCCTGGCATCAGCCAAAACCAGATTAGTCCGTCTGACTGCCAGATGGTGAAGCGTGATTCATCACAGAGAACGCATTTCCACTGCTCCAGAGTCCAATGGTGGCAAGCTTTACACCCCTTCAGCTGACGCTTGGCATTGCGCATGCTGAGCTTAGGCTTGTGTGCGGCTGCTCGACCATGGAAACCCACTTCATGAAGCTCCCTGACGAACAGTTATTGTGCTGACGTTGCTTCCAGAGGCAGTTTGGAACTCGGTAGTGAGTGTTGCAACCGAGGACAGACGATTTTTAAGCACTTCAGCACTCGGCGGTCCCGTTCTGTGAGCTTGTGTGGCCTACCACATTGCGGCTGAGCCATTGTTACTCCTAGACATTTCCACTTCACAATAACAGCACTTACAGTTGACCCGATGTTGACCCGGGCAGCTCTTAGGGCAGAAATTTGACGAACTGACTTGTTGGAAAGGTGGCACCCTATGACGGTGCCATGTTGAAAGTCACTGAGCTCTTCAGTAAGGCCATTCTACTGCCAATGTTTGTCTATAGAGATTGTATGACTGTGTGCTTGATTTTATACACCTGTCAGCAACGGGTGTGAAAGAAATAGCCAAATCTACTAATTTGAAGGGTTGTCCACATATTTTTGTATATATAGTGTATTACGATTGTCTGTTTGTTTCATATCTACAAAGTAGTTAAAACGCTGTCAGTTCCACTTTAAGGGCATCCATAGTAAAGCTGATTTGCAGTAAATCCCCTGATACAAGCTGATAGGGGGTCAGACATGAATGCTTAACACACACACACAGTACCTCTTTCCCTTTCGTGTCTCCATTCTCTATCCACTCCACCGTGACACTCTCGTTGTCTTCATTCAGCGACGTCACCATGGCCTGGTGGATTCGACCTGAAAGATACATGTTAGAAACATATAGATAACAACTGTATTGTAGACTCCTACAGGCAACAGAACCATAAAATCTTCATTCAGCCATGTGACCACGTCATGATGGAATCGTCCTAGCTGCCATAGACGAGAGAAAACAGTTGTAGACTCATACAGTCATACACTCTTGACTATTGAAATGCAGCCATGACCAAAATACATTAGACCACACTGACCAAAGAGGATGATGAGACCAGCCAGGATCTGCCAGGATGGGCAAGAGGCCTTCAGTGACAGATGTGTCAATAGCCCTGGATCTGATTGGTTGTCAAAAGCTTTACATGCATGTCAACATTAGATTGCTTCAGTTGCTTTTTGTTATGTTACTGTACATGCAAAATGGTTTGTTTCCATAATGCTTAATGTCTCATTCTAAACAGCTACAGCTCTTCTCTTTGGGATGAGCCCAAATTACTACAAACATTTAAAAAATACAGTCACATACAGTTGCTTGATAAAAAATACAGTCACATACAGTTGCTTCAGCAGATAATAAAACAATCAAGACATTGCTGCTGAAACACTAACAGAGCATGTATTTAGCTAGTCCTTCCCTGGAGCAAGAACAGGCGAGAATTAAATAAATAGCAACCAAATACTATTCACCTTAGACTAGCAAGCCCTACTATATAAAGTAGTAGCTAGTAGGCTAGTCAGTGGCTACTGCCAGCTACAATACTAGGCTACTATGCGCAATGGGCGTGGTCCTCTAATGATGTTTGATTACATTTGTCTACTACTAGCACAGATCCGAGCAAAGACAACAGTCACGAATCCTCATCATCATCATTCCGGGGATGCTCTTAGATGCATACACCATACCTACCATATCAACCCATAATCTCACGCCCAGGCAATGAAGTGGATATGATAGGCCATTGTAATCCAATCACAAAGCAATGAAATCAAGATGATCACCCGATATTTGTTCAATGAGAGTGTAAACTACTGTAATGACAAATGCATGCATGCTCGAGCTGAACGGTCTACTATGACTATACCCATTTTGCCAGTTAGCTAAATGCTATAGCGGATGAATCGAGTACCACTGCCAGCCATCCAGAACGGCCTATAACCGCACAGGTGGATGCATCCTCCCTGCTAGCTAGCCGGCTAGCCTAATCCACTAAAGGCTACGTCATTCAGGTAATAACCAATTTGATTGACAGCCACTATGTCAGACAGGGACATGACAGTAAGATGAGAGGGTCTAACGCCGAGCACAGATCTCCATGCCATTGCTACCCTAGTTATCCAACTCAGCATCCCGCCTGCCTAGGCGCTGCCTGGAAGCAACAAAGATGATGTAGCTAACGCGACAGCGCCTCAATGAAAAATGCATCTTCATCCAGCTAGCGGACAAGGGGAGATCTCTGTCTTACCATCACTCCGTTTGATTTCCACGTAAATGCCGATGAGGATCTTTCCGAAGACAGCGACGGCCATCCCTCATGTGTGTGTATGGCTGTTATATGGGTGTGTAGTTGCTCAATTGGAGGGGCACCAAGTTGTACCGCAGAGAAGAGAAACCGGGAGGTCAGGATAGAGGGAGAGACAGAAGTGCGCATGCGCCAAGACTACCTTCCGTCAGAACCGAGTAAACGCTAAAGAACCGAAGCATCCAAGAAGACAGTTGGCTGTTATGTGCTTTTGCCTTCTAGCTACAATTACAATATTTATGCAATGTTCTGTTGATGTGCATTTGGGTGAAAAAGCAGCAAGCTTACTTCATTGTAGGATAAGAGGCTTATCTGGACTTGACTAATTCTATAAATAAAATCAAATCAAATACAATTGTATTTGCCACATGCGCCGAATACAACAGGTGTAGACATTACAGTGAAATGCTTACGTACAAGCCTTTAACCAACAATGCATGTATTTCTTAGTAAAACAGTTAAATAAAACAACAACAAAAAAGTGTTGAGAAAAAAAGAGCATAAGTAAAATAAAATAACAGTAGGGAGGCTATATACAGGGGGGTACCGGTGCAGAGTCAATGTGCAGGGGCACCGGCTAGCAGCAGCGTAAAACAGAGTAGCAGCAGCGTAAAAAGATGGGGTGGGGGTGGGGGGGCAGTGCAAATAGTCAGGGTAGCCATGATTAGCTGTTCAGGAGTCTTATGGCTTGGGGGGTAGAAGCTGTTGAGAAGCCTTTTGGACCTAGACTTGGCGCTCTGGTACCGCTTGCCGTGCGGTAGCAGAGAGAACAGTCTATGACTAGGGTGGCTGGAGTCTTTGACAATTTTGAGGGCCTTCCTCTGACACCACCTGGTATAGAGGTCCTGGATGGAACTTGAAGCTCTCAACCTGTTCCACTACAGCCCCGTCGATGAGAATGGGGGTGTGCTCAGTCCTCTTTTTTTCCACAATCATATCCTTTGTCTTGATCACGTTGAGAGAGAGGTTGTTATCCTGGCACCACATGGCCAGGTCTCTGACCTCCTCCCTATACTGTCTCATCGTTGTCGGTGATCAGGCCTACCACTGTTGTGTCGTCGGCAAACTTAATGATGGTGTTGGAGTCATGCCTGGCCATGCAGTCATGGGTGAACAGGGAGTACAGGAGGGGACTGAGCACGCACCCCTGAGGGGCCCCCGTGTTGAGGATCAGTGTGGCAGATGTGTTGTTACCTACCCTTACCACCTGAGGGCGCCCCGTCAGGAAGTCCAGGATCCAGTTGCACGTATAATTCACCATTTATAACCAATGATTGAGAGTTTAATAGTCTATAAGTATGTAATATTGTTATTTTAAAGGTTTAAAATTCTAATAATTATGATATGCACATATATTATTATATGCATACAATATATATGCAAAATTGGTCAACATGATTGTTAAATGTTCTGTTTAGATTGTGATATCATTATTGTACTAGGCTAAATGTTAATCTCCTCCTCTTGATTTCACCTGCACTTTATTGTTCTGAAAAACAAATCTGGATGATATTTACTGTGTGCCTCTCCATAGCTGCATTGTAAGAACAATGTGTCTGCATCTCAATCAGTGATGCAGTTGTCATTACAGACGTGGTCTTAGAATGCACCATTGTTCCTCCCTGTGGGGGTCTACAAAGAATCACATTGTAGAAGAAGCAAAACACCAATACCACAACTGTGTCATCAAGTTTGTGAAAACAGCCATTTTTTTCTAGCTCAAGTTGTTCCCAACCCTTACTGATACATTGATATTTCCACAGAACATTGACTATTGGAATTGATAAGTAAGTCTACTTATTTTCATCAGGTTAAGCTCAACAGAAGATAAAGTTGATTGGGGCCACCATACACTATACAGTATGTGCATGTTGATGTTTATTGACATGAGTCTTGTCCTGGAGGCAGAACTGCGCAATTTAGCCTTAGATAGGCCAGCTGCAAAGTCAACATTGGCTAATTCATGAAAACAATAATGTGCTTTTTGGTTTTAATTAAGTTTAAGGTTAGGCATTAAGGTTTGCAGTGTGGTTAAGGTTAAGGTTAGGTTTAAAATCAGATTGTATTACTTTGTGGCTGTGCAAGCCATTGACCATTCTGCAGAGCTGCCTCCAAAACAAGATTCATGACGAAAAACACTAACCTGCAAGAGGTACGGTCCCATCTTGTCATTCCCACCTTGGACCACACCACGGCAGCAGAGGGCCATCTAGGAGCCATCTCTCGCATGGGCCCTATTTGAATATTTTACAAATGCATCCTAATCTCACCTATCTGATTGGAAGATTCCGGCAAGGAAGTGAGAAAGGAGGGACGCATATTGAACATTTTAAAACAGGTCCATCACTTGTGTTTCTCATGTGGTATTTTACATTTAACTTTTTGTTGCTGAAGAAAGGTATAGTTTGATGAGTTGCTGGATAGTTGTGTGCTGTTCTAAATCTAATACAACTCCTTAATATAGGTCAAACACAAGTTAATCCCATCCATCTATACAGTCAGTCAGAACACGACACACTTTTAGTCACTCTGTGGATGATGATGATGATGCATTCACAGTGTCTCGCTTATGCAGAGACATCTGTCAGGGAAACTAGCAGCAGTAACACAGTCCCTCCTCTACCCAGCCCTGAGCTGCAGCTGTCACTCCTACACAGACAGAACCACAATCCATTCCAAAAGATGAATGAAGCTGCCTGCCTCTCTCTCTCTCTTTCTCACACACGCACACAGACACAGACACACACACACACACACACACACCCTGCATCTCTCTCTCTTCCTGTCAATTCAGAGGGCCCATCCATTCCCCAAGGTGTCGGCCATCGTTGTCTGGCCTATCAGTTTCCCCAGCAACCAGACTACTCTCTGTCTGTCTGCTTTGTCTCCTACTGGATTAATGAGGACATAGTACAGCTTGATGGTGTTTGATGATTGTTCTTTGTTTGTGTGTATAGGGCTGGATGTGTATGGGGAGAGAGAGAGTGTGTGTGTGTGTGTGGGTGCGTGCATGGGTGTGTGCGTGTGGGGAGAGTGTGTGGGTGTGTGTGCCGAAGCGTGTGCCGGTGTGTGTGCGTGTTGGGGGAATGTGTGTGTGGGGTGCACAGTATCCTAAATAGACATGATTTTCCATATGATCAAAGGAAGTACTTAACAAATAGCCCATTGGCACCAAGTTATATTCATTACATTATCATCACCATAGAAATGCCTCTTCCCCAAACTGATTGGTCAGTTGGACACAGTGACTGAACTGTAAGCCCGGAGCAGCCTGCCATGCATAGGCAATTTGGACATCATTCGCATTATTTTACATACCAATATCTCTTACTGCAGGCAGCAATCGCTGGGAGTCTATTTTGCGGTCTCTCACTCACTCTCACTCACTCACTCACTCACTCACTCACTCACTCACACACACAGAATGCCCATCTAAATGAAAACATGTCAGCCCTGCTCAGGCCTATGTAGCTCTAATGGTGAATCCTCATTATTATTGTCCTTAGAGACTTTTCAACATGGCTGCTACTGTAGAAAGGCCTGTCATGCTGTTCCACTGTCTGTCCATGGTCTGGCATGCAGATAGCTGGCTCCAAGATAACCCGGGCACGGCTTCCTCATTCCACATTCTGTGTGTGTGTACGTGCGCGCATGTGTGTGTGTGCGTGCTGTGATATGGCAGACATCCCTGTGCTAATTACCATTGTCATGGCTGTAGATCTGAGCTGGACAGAACAGTCAGGTGGGAGGAGCATTACGACCAGCGTTCAATGTTCCGTGTTCTTAGTGGACAGTGGGAGCCATAGAAATAGAATGACTACTATGCACATACCCGCCACAGAACCTTGATTACAATGGGAATGTCCATTCTAATGTAGTTCTATGTTGGGAGCAGAGGCAGGGGAACAGATTTGGTGTCTAATGGTTTCTGGCAGCAATGGGCCCTTAGTCCTGTTCACTGGAGCCGCAACATCCCCCCAGGGATACACCGGCTGTTAGAGCTACCCCTGCTCTATATTCTATCACTCTATCCCTCCTCTCCTCCCTCCTCTCCTCCCTTTGTTCCACACATCATTAAAAAGAAGAAAGTTATGCATGTATCTCATGTACTCTTATAGCTAGGCTACATATCCTCTATACCCCCTCATATCCTATACCCATCCATCTTTTTAATAGGAAATGTATTTTCAACCAAACTGTATGGAGTCCAAATTTCAGGGTAGAGGTTCTAAATTGGTATTTATATGTTTTAGTATTTATGTCATCTTGGGAATCGCATATTAGTTTAACCGTTTCTTGTCTTCGGCAAAGGTTAGGGTTTTGCTAGGGTGAGGGTTGAGCTGGGGTGTGGACATGAAGCTAAGGTTGGGGTAGGGGTTAGGGTGAGGGTTGAGATGGGGTGTGGACATGAAGCTAAGGTTGGGGTAGGGGTTAGGGTGAGGGTTGAGATGGGGTGTGGACATGAAGCTAAGGTTGGGGTAGGGGTTAGGGTGAGGGTTGAGATGGGGTGTGGACATGAAGCTAAGGTTGGGGTAGGGGTTAGGGTGAGGGTTGAGCTGGGGTGTGGACATGAAGCTAAGGTTGGGGTAGGGGTTAGGGTGAGGGTTGAGCTGGGGTGTGGACATGAAGCTAAGGTTGGGGTAGGGGTTAGGGTGAGGGTTGAGCTGGGGTGTGGACATGAAGCTAAGGTTGGGGTAGGGGTTAGGGTGAGGGTTGAGCTGGGGTGTGGACATGAAGCTAAGGTTGGGGTAGGGGTTAGGGTGAGGGTTGAGCAGGGGTGTGGACATGAAGCTAAGGTTGGGGTAGGGGTTAGGGTGAGGGTTGAGATGGGGTGTGGACATGAAGCTAAGGTTGGGGTAGGGGTTAGGGTGAGGGTTGAGATGGGGTGTGGACATGAAGCTAAGGTTGGGGTAGGGTTTAGGGTGAGGGTTGAGCAGGGGTGTGGACATGAAGCTAAGGTTGGGGTAGGGGTTAGGGTGAGGGTTGAGCTGGGGTGTGGACATGAAG